CTACAGGTCTGAAGATGTAATAAATCTTTGTTGATGCAACTATGCTTAACTCAACAAAATGTCAACAGGATTCTCTACTGTGTTGGTCGCCAGAGTTACCTCTGGCAGTGCCTGAAATGAATGAAACAGGGAAATGCCATTTGTAATCGCCAATATTTGCAAAAACCCAGCACTAAGCATTGGTTTTTTTTCCACAGCCTTAATCCCCACTAGGGAGGTATTATCATTCTCATTTTCCAAAGGAGGGTGTAAAGATTCCCAAAGGGGTTAGTAACACAATGCTCCCCTCAAAAGAGTAAGAATTAAGAAGGTGAAGCCAGATCTGCCTGATTTTCATTTCACCTCATTTGATTACCCATGTTCTCTCATTCATACTCCCAATACACAATGGAAATATAATTATATTTAATTTCATGAGTGGATTAATTATTACATAGATTATCATAACAGAAGACAAGTTATGGTTTTATATTTTAACAGAGACACAAAGAATAATGGACACTTCAAGGAATAGATAATGCAACTTAAAAAAGGTGGCTTAAGGACTGATATACCCAATAGCGGGGTAATGAAGTATAAAGTCAGAGAATGAATTTCAAAGAAAGAGGTAGTGATGAGGTCGTACCTGCCTTCTGAACTGGGAATCTTCTGTAGGATCAGCAGCACAACTGGCATCATGATGGCATGCTTACCCCTCCCTTCCACTGTGGACATGGCCCATGCTTAGAAAGACTGGCTTTACTTTGACCCTTCAACTACTGCTCTGGAATTGGTCAGTCTAAGTTTTACCTTCAAAGCATTAACCAAGTTCACTGGCTAGTTGTATGAAGGTCTGTAATTCCTAAAAGTGTGCTGTAAATTCTGGATAGTTTCAGTATTTCCAGCTCTTCTTCAGGTCATTGCAAAAAAAGGGAGGTCCTAGTCTGGACAGGAGTAAATGTACTTTGGTAGAAATGTCAGGGGTGAGAGAAGGAGGAGAGTTAGCTACATGCCATTTTGGCAGCCTTTCGTGTAAAGCATTAGAGAAATGCAAAATATGGAAACAAAATAAGAACAAGAAAAGATCTTTGCAAGCACTTAAGCCATTTTTGAGGTTCCCAGAGAATAGATAACTTGATTATTTCAGTTTATTTCCATTTTTGTTCTGTCTCAGGAACTTCTTGATTCCAGCTGGGCCAGGAAGGTGAATGACCAAAACATCCAAAGAATGTCTCGTATTATAAGATGTTCAGTTCAGCTTGCAACACCAGAAACTTTTTGATATTCCTGATAGTGTCTGTGTATAAGACTCAAACTCAGGGTTAGCTTTAGTCTAACCAAATTGGGGAATCTTCTAAGAAGGATAGATGAGAGGGGCTGGGACCTGCTAGAGGTAAGAGGTTTACAAAAAATCAAAGGGAAGTGTTCATTGGCATTCTGGGCTTCTATGACACAAATCGCCATAGGCACAGGGGATGAAAGCTTACTGTAAAAAGATTTCACTTCTAGATAAAATTGTCATACCTGTATCTTGCATGGTGACTAGGGTAGAGACTGGCTTTATATTACTTTGGTTTCTTTCATAGGATCTAGCACAACGGGAGCCACAAACCTCTAGTAGATACTCACATTTACCTTTCTTTCTTTCTTTCTTTCTTTTTTTTTTTTTTTTTTTTTTTTTTTTTTTGCAGAACCAGGGATTGAACTCAGGCCCTTGTGGTTGCCAGGCAAGTGCTTATTCAACTGAGCCATCTCCCCAGCCCATATTTCCCATTTTTAAAGTAAGAGAAAGAGAGTGAGGTAAATTTGAAAAATAAAGAAGAGATGGGGAAGCCACTGTGGTCATTTCATCTTTCCCAAAATTACAGAAGTGTCCTAGTGAGACAAAGGGACTATGGAACAGGGGCCATGTGGCAGGGCTAGGCACAGCCCAGGATGGAAGAGGCCTGCCATCGCTATGCTTCTGCTCCAGGAGGATGGAAACTCCTCAGGCAGTCCACACAGTGACACCCGGCACTGCCTGTCTGCACAGGACTCTGCTCACTTCACAGTGAAGTTTCCCAGTCATGGAGCTGCTTCCATCTTTTAGGTGAACAGGAGACAGTCAGCACAAGGGAGCCATGAGATCCTTCAAATTTTAGATTCTCCACTCTTTGGCCTGGGGCAGAACCACAGTGCTTCTCCAGTTCTTTAAGGCAGATAACAATTCTTACCTTGGCTGTGAGGTGTGTAGCTGGTGGACCTCCATAACATTAGGCCCTTCCTCTGTTCTCTATCTATGACCTGCTTTGGTCAATCTCTGAATTGGAAATTGTCTGGGATCCATGCATGCATCAGTGAGTGTGTGTGTGTCTGTGTGTTTGTCTGTGTGTGCATGTCTGTGTGTGTGTGTGTGTGTGTGTGTATAAAAGACAGAGAGAGAGAAAGAAAGAAGAGATAGAAGAGACAGACCTAAGAAAGAGAATTTTATTGGAGGAAGGCACCAGACACCAGGTGCACATTTCTGTTTTATTGTTACATTTCTGGGGTTGTAACTCAGCAGCACAGCACCTGCCTAGCAAAGGTGAGGCTCTGAGTTTGATTCCCAGCACCAAACACCAAAAACAACAACAAAAGCAAGTACTACATTTTATTCTTAAGCCAAATTCTGAGCACTTCCCAGTTCTTTCAGCTCCTTCTCTTAACCCACTAACATTTTCACCCTGAAGGGTGAAAATTGACTACGGTGTCCTCTAATCACCTTACAGGTGATGAAGACCAGAGTCGTGCTTCATTATTCCTCTCTGCTTTCAGAAAGGAGCCAGATTTCTCCTGAAGATGTTGCTTTGACCTTGAACTGCACAGGCTGAAGATATGCATGGCAATGTGTGTCTGAGTATCGGTGCTTGTGTATGCATGTGAGTCTGAATGCATGTGAGTGTGTGCTTGTACACATGCATGAGTTAGTGCCTGTGTGTGTGTCTGTGTGTGCATGATGGGAGAGGTGGGGTAAGGAGATGAATTCTAGAAGTTGTTTTCCTATGAGGAATTCAGGACACCTTTGTTCTTGAGCCCTCCAGGCTGCCCTCTGCCCGCCCCTCATGCCCTGCACCTAGGCTGCACACATAGCCTCTCCCCTGACCCTGTATTCTCCAGTGAGCTGATCTCATTATGGTAAATTTAGTTACAGCTGAAGTCTCCTTGTAACAAAGATTATGTCCAAGCCCAGAGTAATGGAACCTAGTCGATTTCATTAAAATAAAATTGGTTACAATGAATAATTCAATAGGATGATTTTGTTTCCCCATCTCCTCTTTGTAGATCGAAGAGCTAGTATTTATAATGATTTTTTAAAATTGGATTTTTGTTTAGGAAGAGATAATCGCCCATAATTCCTGACAGCCCTTTCCTTACAAGATCAGAATAACTGCTCCACGAAACCTCATTTCAGATGCAGAGACTGGAAAATTCTCTCTCTCTCTCTCTCTCTCTCTCTCTCTCTCTCTCTCTTTTCTCCTGATAGTACCAATAAAGTTTGGGTGGTTTTTAAGCTCAGTTACTCCCTTAGATTCCATTCATGTGAGGTTCTGAGTGGGTTCTTAACATTCTAGTTCCAGTGGTGATTTTTAAACATTACTGGGTGCTAGCATTGAATTTGGAATTCTTGTATATTTTATGTAATAGAGAGAAAGCAAAGGTTGAGCATGTAGCAGCAGTGTGTGTGTGTGTGTGTGTGTGTGTGTGTGTGTGTGTAAGATCCTGTCCTTAAAGATGAAGGGACAAAGAAGAATGACACTTAAATGTATTCTCAAAACATTGATGACCAAGTAGAAAGCCAGGTGGACAAACAGATGGTTATAGTTCAATGTGATAGGTACTGGGTACAAGCAGGCAGATGGGTTCATGAAATACAGAGGTGGTGGGTAGGGGAGCAAGATGAATTCTGATCATTTGTTCATGTAATTCTTCATTCATTCATTCATTCACTCACTCATTCATTCATTCACTAAGGTTGCAATAAACACGAGAGACACTAGGAAGCACCATGTTTCTGTTTCTTTCCACATTCTGCAAGGAGCTCAGAAATAAATGCCGATGAAGCGCGGCTGAAGTTCATGAAAAGTCTAATAAATGAGGTGGTCTTTGCCTACGTCTTACCCGGGGACTCTTCATTGAGCCCCAGGAGATAATTTTTCTTTCATTTAGAAACCAGGCCTACCCCATCTCACCTGAATTGAGGGAGCAACATTAAGAGAGGGCTGTCGGGGAGCCACAGGTCCTCTGCAAGGCAGTGGGAAGGCTGGCCTTAGGAATGGCCACTGGGGTGGGCAGTGAGAAGCATTGAGCCATGACTCTGGGAGATGGAAGTCTCAGAAGAAGACAGGTGGTGCTTAGCATGATAATTGGGAAGGCAGCCCTGGGGACAGCACAGCCATGCCCAGAACCACACAAGCTGTAGTGGTCCCCAAACTCTCACTGCCTCAACTAAGTCCCAGCCTCCTGGGAGAGAACCTTGACACATAAATAGTGCATTAGGGGACTGCGGCATGAGTCACAGCTTCTTAGAAATGAGAAAGTCCTTAGAGATCGTCACAGTCAACTAGTCGCTATTTTAAAGATAGGAAAATGGGGCCCAAAGAGATGAGATTGCTCCAAATCCATACAGCAAATTCATGGTAGAATTATCACTAATTCATGAAGCACACAACATGGCACCCCCTCCCTCAAGTGAGACTTTCCAAAATGAATTTGTTCTTACCCCTATTGAACTCTAGTGATATATCCAGGATGGAGTTCTTTCCCACATATGAATTACAATAGGTAGGGAAATGGGAAAACAGATTTATTACCCCTGTGATGTTAATGGCCTCTCTGCTTGGCCATTGCATGTGCAGCCCTCTCTCGATGCTGACATTGCATTTGGCTAGAGATGTGCTCACATGGCCTCATTCAAGGGAACTGCAAGTGAGGTGAAGAACTTGAGTGGCACAGAAAAGATTCAGGCTATCAGCGACAAGTGCCGCCCAAAGCTAGGCTCTTACCTGGGATGCGGCCGGCTGCCCGATGATGACCCAGCCTGGACACTGATGGTCTTGATGAGACACTGAGGCATTGGATGCCCACTGATCTAGGAATCCTTGAGGTGTGTAGACACCACAGTCTTTAATGCTAGTCTTTTGTTCAAACTCTTCACATACCCCATCTCCATCATGGAAGTAGCACCGACTGGGTTCATCTACAAGAGAGGGTGAGAGAGAAAGAGATCGTTGATGGAATATTTGTTCTCTGGTGTTTAGCATCATTAGAAGCTATGGGATTGGATCACCAAATCCACCAGCATTATTCAACCTATCCTCATTAGTTACAATGGAATATGGTTTAGCCTTTAAAAAAGAGGGAGTCTTGTTGCATGGAATGGCATGATGAACCTGGAAGACATCATAAAATTTGAAATACGCCCATCACAGCACAACAAATTCTGCATTGTTCTACTTAGGTGAGTTATTTAACATTATGAAGCTCACAGATAAAGAAAGTGAAAAGAAGGCTCCCAGAGTCTGAAGGTGGGGAGTGAATGAGCACTACTTCCTCAATAAGTGTAATTATGCACAGTGAAGGAGCTCTAGGCTGCTACTGCACAGCAATGTGCTTATAACTAGCAACACTGTACCATAAATTTATAATATGTTAAGAATGTATCTTGCCACATACAAACACAGAAGTTCATATCCAACTTCATTTCCCCAAGTAAGCCTCACAACTATCTCAAGAGGAAGGTAAGATTATTATTTTAATTACTCTTTTCATGTCCAGTTGAGATACCACACTGTTGTAATGACTTGAACAAGGTCACACAGTGTGCTTACATCAGATGCAGAATCAGAACTCATTCCTTTACTCTCCCACTCAGAGTTCATTACTGATACCTCAGAACATCACAGCTACAAATTTGGGTTCCTATAACTCCAAAAGTAATGACAGATTTACACAAAGAATGAACTGCAGAACTCAGCTGCAGTTCTGAAGCTCTATTGGTCTTCTGTGGTAGGTAAGTCTCTTTCCATATGTGGACCCAATCATTAGAGGAAAGAAAGACTAGAATACTGGTATTCCAAGAAACCTTCCTGGATAATACTCTTAGCAACTTAAATACCTAAAGAGTTTCAGCTAAAACCCAAGTAAATTTTCAACTTCTTATGCATGTCAAGCTACATCAACAGTTTCTACTTGGTCTAAAGCTGTTGCTGGCTTTGGTGATCTTCTCTTAACCACAGGGACAAGAAGCATAGAAATCTATGGCAGAGTAGATGGCTCAGGGCCAGAGAGATAGCTCAGTAGAATAAGTGCTTGCTTGGCAAGTGCAAGGGCCTGAGTTTAATACCCTGTTTCAGGAAAAAAACAAAACAAAACACTGGGCCAGAGTAGATGGCTCCTGACAGGTGCGACCTATGCATGATTCTTGATATTTTAATATAGAGCAATACAAGTAGAAACTTACATGTGGTCATCATGAAAAGATTACCCTTCATTCTTTTTATAACTTTAATGCCAGCTCTTCTGTGCTGTTTTTTTTTCTCTTTCTGTCACTTTTTTTTCTGGGCAATGGCAAATACTCCCTACTGTACGTATGTGCCTATTTTACTAACATTTCCACCTTAACACTTACCACATGGTACTGTCATTAAATCTACATGTTGTAGCTGCCCTGAAGGATGCAGACTTCCTTAAAAAGTTGTCCCTATCCAATGTCCTAGAATTGTCATACAATTTAGCCCCCATACTAGAGCACACTTTGAAAGTGGTGGCAGTGATATTGAAAATTATATCCAGGTAACAGAAATATAACCTGGGAAAACCTCCATATCTCAGGAAAATCCCTGTACAGATATTACTTGATCTGGGTTGTCCTTCCCAAATTTACTCTAAAATTGTTGAGTAGAGTTCTGGAGAGGATACTGAATGTAAGGCCAAAGACCTGGGCTGGTTCCTGTTCTTTATATTGGCTCTGTAACTTTGCAAAACTAACTTTGTTCCTCAGCCTCTAGATCTCCAAATGTAACATGGACGTGACAATCCCCACCTGGGAAACCTCTCAGGATAACCACAGAACTCTCGTTGGAAAAGAATATAAATATGCTTTAAACAGTCTGAAATAATCATCAAAATAAAAGCATATCCTTTCTCTACAGGATTGATCGATTCCTAAGCAACCGAGTCAAATCAAATTGTGGAATCAGTACTCATTAGAAGTACTATCCAGCAGTATTCTCCCATCAGGAGGGGCACAAGTCAAGGAGAAATAAGGCTTGAATGTCTATGATGCTGACTGTTAGAAAAAGGAGTTACTGAATTCAGGGACAGCAAAATGTTGAGCCCCTTCCAAGGTCCAAAATCCCTTGTTTATTTCTGCAAACAGTTTACATAGTGAAATACTATCAAGAGAGCCAGAATAAATCAATTCATTATAATTCAATTATTTAAAGATGGGTTTGAGCCAGCTGAAACTCTAGTGACTGGTAGCATGCAGAGCAGGGAAAGAACACAGGCTCAGGGCTTCTCAGGAGTGCCAGCCTCTCCACACTGTGGTCACCTAGATATAGTAAAGCATAGATCCAATCCCAGAGTGATCAGCCATAGTCTCACTTTGCTCTCTAAAATCCCATAAGGGAGACTGCAAAGAGTAAGGGGTTTGACATACAGGAAAGGTATGGTCAATCTCTATGTCTACCACTCATAAACTGCCTAGGACTGAAATATAATAACCTAATTACTCTGAACTTCACTTTCCTCACCCGCAAAAAATGGAGGCAGTTAGATTTATTCAGTGCTGTCAGGGTGACTATGTGAAATGGCACTTACAAGATCAGCTCTTTTGCTCGGTTTATCTATTGGCAAACAGCTAGAAGAGCACTATAACTCTGGGGCAAACAGAAATCTGGACTCAGAGGTTGAAGTCTGTGCCTCATTTTCACACCAAGCAGAACAGATCCTTTTTACACCTGTGCAATACCCTCTGTGCAGTATCATCAAAGATTAAGATCATGAAGTTGCCACTTTTCCCCTTCTCCAATAAAAGACATGTGATTAGTGTAAGATTATATAAAATCTATTCTCTAACATGTCTTATTCATTCCTTCAGCAAAGACACTTCTCAGAGTAGCCCTCCCCCCACAAAAAAATAAAGAGCTAGAGATGAATTCTCACAAAGGCTAATTTCTTCTTGATTGTATTTAAGACTGCAGCAAATCTGTCTGCTCACACTCAGCAGAACCTGAGAATGGAGGGAGACAGACATGGGTAGAAAAATAGGTGCATAAGCGACTAGATGGATACAGATGATAGATAGATAGATAGATAGATAGATAGATAGATAGATAGATGATAGATAGATAGATAGGTTGGTAGATAGATGATAGATAGATAGATAGATAGATAGATAGATAGATAGATAGATAGATAGATAGATAGATGAAGAAGAGAGGAGAGAGAGGGATGGGGAGAAGGTGGGAAGGAGACAGACAGAGAAGGCGAGAGTGAGAATAACAATATGTATGTCTTGTTTTTTTGTAGATTCTGCTGACAAAGCTATTGTGCATTCCTTTTAAAAATAACATCCTTGGACTCTGCTATTCAGCTTGTCTTGCTACTAGTGTCCCAGGAGCCCTTCGGCTCCATCTGCCAGCCTTTGTCTGGGGAATTCTCTATCCCTCTCTACTCCCTCTGCCCCAAGCACTGAACAGAACAGGGTAAGGAACAGAATACAAATGTGCAGGCAGGAAAAACAAAGGCAGCAACAATAAAACAAAACTCGCCTCGCTCCCATTACATCAGTCGGCTTGGTACTCCTCGAATGCTTGATGCAAGGTGCTGAGTACATTCTAGTAAAGAACTTGAAGTCAACCCCAAGGTCAAATGATCACCTTGGCAGCCAGGCTTCCATATAGCAGTTAGGTGGCTTTGACAATAATATATTCCATCGAGATCAGTATGTGCAGACTATAGGTGCATGTACACACACACACACACACACACACACACACAGAGACACACATACACACTTTTGAAAATATCAGACTTTCAATAACTAGTTAGTGACTGAATAAGTGATTAAACTTCAGAATCCTTGATGCACATACTCCTCTGAAAATATAGCTTACATCCTTTGGAAATTATGGCTTAGGGAAAGTAAAGGAGATGAGACACCTATAGGGACTGCCTCATAATGGGCATGCAATAGGCAGCCCGATCCCTAAATCTCACCTCATCTCCTCTCAGCAAAGGGCAATGGGTCATTTCAGACTATCATCATGCATGTGGTGATGCATGTAGAAAGCTAATCTACACAGCTAGGACACTTGGTGTAGGCGGATCTGGCATGATTAACAAACTCGTTCTTCCTCAGGTGTGTTTTCCTATATGGGAACTTTCTTTCAAATGCAATAAGCTCAGCCAAAAGCCCAAGATAGAGGGGCTTTCTGTAAATGGATAGACACGACTGATACAGCCTCTTATTGACTCAATTTTGAAATTTTATCTGTCGGAAGCATCAATGTGCAATGTCATGGCTCTACATTTCTAAGGCACATACAAAGAACAGTATGTGTGGTAGGTAGACACGGCTGCCCTCACTGGAAAGCTTGGAAAGCCAGCTCTAAGAAGCAAAGGACAAGTTCATTTTATAGTATAGGCAAAGGCTGGAGTTAGCACTAAGGTTAAGAGTTCTTATCCTTCAAACAAAGAAGCACCTGAGTTCAAGCACTGTTATACTCTTTATTGCTGGTTAATCTTGGACATATTTCATCTTTCAAGTCCTCAGTTTTACCATCTATGGAATAGGAATAATGTTACCTTTTGGACTTTCTCAAGGGGAAGCTGGCATGATCAAACTGCATGCGGGTTTGAGCCACGCAAAAATAAAAGTGTTCTGCGAGACACAAGGCCTCGTTCTAACAATGACAATGATGAGAAGAGGTAGGGCTTTCAAAAGTCTTCTTAATCAGAAATTCAGAGGATAGAAAAGGTCACCGAAGGCACATGAGCTGTTTTCAGTATCAACGACAAGTAAACAAACCAAAAGGGAAAAAAAGCAATAAACAAAAAAGGGGTGTGTTTATTTGTATACCCAACATGGAGACATTAATTAACTTAGTTTGATGCAAAGCTTTGGTAATTCGTGACATCCCTGGAACACTTCTGATGGAAAAGTGAGAGAGATAGCTGAAGAGTTCATAACCA